TCAAATTGAACGCAGACTAAACCGACGGAGTTATCGTTCACGGAAATTGTAGAAGTTATGGGCCGACATTTGACGCCGAAACCAATTATCATCGCTGAAAGATACAAATTTCACAAGTAAAATCAAGTGGAAGGTCAGTCAATTCGTGAATTTTTAGCTAAGTTCCAAAAATTAGCAGAAACTTGTGAATTTGGGGTATATCGCGATGAAGCATTGAGGGATAGACTGGTGTGTGGCATTACCTCACAAACGATTCGAAGAAAATTATTATGAGTAGCAGATTTAACACTAAAGAAAGCAGTAGATATCGCCGTTGGCATGGAGTTGACGGATAAGGAAATATTCGAGATTTCTAGTGAGCCTAAACCCGTTCGGAAGGGGGAGGTACATGATCCATGTTTTCGTTGTAGTAGGCGAAATCATTCACCTGATAAGTGTTTTCATAAAGATTGCGAGTGTCACATATGCAAACGAAAAGGGCACATCAGTCCACAATGTCTGCAGAAGAAGTCTGCGAAATCCCCAACCCAAGGTAAACCCAAGCCACAAAAAGTTAAACAGGGAAAGAAGAAGAAAAAAGATTCAAGAATTAAGTTGTTAGGCACTGGAAGTGGTTCTGGTAGTGAGGCTTCTGACTCCTCTCATCCTGAAAACTCCGGTGACGCATATCACCGTGAATGGCCAATGTTTTCTGTGAGAAATTCCTCAGAAAAGAAATCGGATGAAATATTGATATCGCTTAATATCAATAATGTTCCCTGTGAATTAGAATTGGACACAGGAGCTGCAGTGACTGTGATCCCTGAAGAAATATGGCAAAAGATTTGGGCTCAGTTCCTTTGCAAAAGTCTAACGTGACTTTAAGGAGCTATTCTGGGCATTCGATACCAGTGTATGGAGAAACTGCTGTTCATGTTAAGTATGGCTCCCAAGAACTTGACCTACCCATTATAGTTACTAATGGGAAAGGTGTTGCTCTCATGGGAAGAGATTGGTTATCAAAGATTAAGTTGAACTGGCACCACATTAATGCTGTTCGACAAGCTAACCAACCAAGACCCAAGTTAGAAGACGTAGTTCAACAGTACCCCAAATTGTTTGATGGTAAACTAGGTACCATTACTGGATTCACAGCTCAGCTCAAAGTGAAAGAGAATGCTACACCTCAGTATTTCAAGTCTCGTCCGATGCCTTACGCACTCAGGGAGAAGGTGGAAAAGGAGCTGAAGCGCCTGGTGAAAGAAGGAGTATTAAAAAAGGTTGAAAGTTCGGATTGGGCCACACCAATTGTTCCCGTTCTTAAACCAGATGGAACAGTGAGAATTTGTGGCGATTTCAAACTCACCATTAACCCTTACTTAGATGTCCCAGAGTACCCTATGCCGACACCAGACGAATTATTCACAAAGTTGAATGGAGGTGAATTATTTACTAAGCTAGACCTCAGTCATGCCTACCAGCAAGTAGTCCTGGATGAGAAGTCCCAACCCTATGTCACCATCAATACCCACTTAGGTTTATACCGGTACACTAGACTACCATTTGGAGTGGCAGCTGCACCTGCAATATTCCAACAGATGATTGACAAAATGCTAGATGGCCTGACCCAAACTGGCGGAATATTGGATGATTTGATCGTCACTGGTCAAAACGATGAGCAGCATATCGAGAACTTGCACCATACTCTCAAGAAATTTGAAGAATGTGGAGCTAAGTTTAA